AGGCCACCGGCAACCAGTGCAGCTCGCGCAGCAGCGGTGTTACATGGGAGCGACGAGTCCCTCCCAACACCGCCCGCGCGGCCGCATTCTGGACCAGTTGGAGCCTCCGGGTGCTCCTCAAGGGAAGCCCCATGTAGAGAGCATTACAGTAGTCCAGGCGGGAGGTGACGAGGGCATGGGTGACTGTGCGCAAGGCGTCTCGGTCCAGAAAAGGCCGCAACTGGTGTATCAGGCGTACCTGATAAAACGCCCCCCTGGTCACGGCCGACAACTGGTCTTCCAGTGTCAGCCGTGAATCCAGGAGGACCCCCAGATTGCGTACCCTCTCCGAGGGAGCCAAAATTTCGCCCTCTATAGTCAGCGATGGAGTTTGCTGTAGCGGTTACGGTGCTGGCCTAGAAACCAGGAGGCTGTGAGTTCTAGTCTTACCTTAGGCATGAAAGCCGGTTGGGTGACTTAGCCTTAGGCCAATCACTAGGAGACAGTGAGTTCTAGTCCCGCCTTAGCCATGAAAGCCAGCTGGATGACTTTGGGCCAATCTCTAGGAGACAGTGAGTTCTAGTCCCGCCTTAGGTATGAAAGCCTAAGGTGCTGGCCTAGAAACCAGGAGGCTGTGAGTTCTAGTCTTACCTTAGGCATGAAAGCTGGTTGGGTGACTTAGCCAATCACTAGGAGACAGTGAGTTCTAGTCCCGCCTTAGGCGTGAAAGCCAGCTGGATGACATTGGGCCACTCACCAGGAGACTGTGAGTTCTAGTCCCACCTTAGGAATTGAAAGCCAGCTAGGTGGCCTTGGGCCAATCAGCAGGAGACTCTGAGTTCTAGTCTTCCTTACGAACCCAAGCCAACTGTATGACTTTGGGCCAGCCACTCTCTCAGTCTAACCCACCTCGCAGGGTTATTGTGGGGAAAATTGGAGGAGAAAGTAGTATAATGTATGTTTGTTGCCTTCAGTTACTTACAAAGTAATAAAGGCAGGATAAAAAAAATCTAAATAAATAAATAATGTCTAGAGGTGCTGAGAAACACCAGTGGGCCTAGATTCTGAAGACCCACAATTGAGGAAGTGTTAAAGCTCTGTTGAGGTCCTCTTGAGTTTTCACCGTCTCCAGATAAGCAGCAGAAGTAATATCAGTAAAGAATCAGATTCAGTCATCCTGGATAAAGGTCAGAGTTGTTCTGGACTAATCTCTGAATTTATGTTGTTAATCATTCTCTTGACGTTGAGTCTCACGCTCTAAGATTCCAGATGTACGCATGTACAGATGCAATCCCAGATGTGCGTATGGTGTTTCCTTTCTGAGCTGACAGAATCTCTATTACATATGTGGGATATTCTCTGTGGAGAACAATGGTCCAACTGTGGATAATGTTAATTAACTTCTAATCCTTGGATTTATTTCCTTCCTTCACTCAGAATCTGATCTACTCGGCCTGGAGTCCACTTATGCAAGAATAGAGCAGGATCTGAATGAAACACTGAGGCGACGCAGACACACCGGAGAAAATGACTACAATATTGAGGTTCTCCTTGGGGTAGATGACTCGGTGGTCCGATTCCATGGCAAAGAACACGTGCAGAACTATCTTCTCACCCTTATGAATATTGTGAGTGCAACATTTTCTTGCTTTAGTTTGGGAGAAATAAAGATGTTGAGACTCTGGAAAGTGCAGAGAAGAGCAACAAAGATGATTAGGGGACTGGAGGCTAAAACATATAAGGAAGGGTTTCTGGAATTGGGGATGTCTAGTTTAATGAAGAGAAGGACGAGGGGGGACAGGATAGCAGCTTTCCAATATCTCAGGGGCTGCCCCAAAGAAGAGGGAGTCAAGCTATTCTCCAAAGTGCCTGAAGGCAGGAGAAGAAGCAACGGATGGAAACTAATCAAGGAGAGAAGCAACCTAGAACTAAGGAGAAACTTCCTGACAGTGAGAACAATTAACCAGTGGAACAACCTGCCTCCAGAAGCGGTGAATGCTCCAACACTGGAAGTTTTTAAGAAGAGACTGGACAGCCATTTGTCTGAAATGGTATAGGGTTTCCTTCCTGAGCAGGGATTTGGACTAGATGACCTCCAAGTTCCCTTCCAACTTTACTACTACTACTACTACTACTACTACTACTACTACTACTACTACTACTACTGTTGTTGTTGTTGTTGTTGTTGTTGTTGTTGTTATTATTATTATTATTATTATTATTATTATTATTATTATTATTATTATTATTATTATTATTATTATTATTATTATTAAGATCTCGGTCCCTTAAGCCTCAAATTGATTGTGGATAATCTTGAGAAAGCTACAAAGGGTTTTGAATCCCCTCACATTTGGGTCTGAGACTGTAAGGAAATGCTAAGGCTACAGGTAAGATTAGAAAGTGGAACATCTAGAACAGGGGTCTTCAAACTTGGCCCTTTTATGACTTGTGGACTTCAACTCCCAGAATTCCTCAGCCAGCGTGCCTGGCTGAGGAATTCTGGGAGTTGAAGTCCACAAGTCATAAAAGAGCCAAGTTTGGAAGACCCCTGGTATAGGTAGTCCTGCACTTATGACCATTCATTTAGTAACAGAATAACCCACTGCTCAAGCAGGAAACCCTGTACCATTTCAGAGAAATGGCTGTCCAGTCTCTTCTTGAAAACCCTTCAGTGTTGGAGCACCCACAACTTCGGGAGGCAAGTCGTTCCACTGGTTAATTGTTCTAACTGTCAGGAAATCTCTCCTTAGTTCTAGGTTGCTTCTCTCCTTGATTAGTTTCCATCCATTGCTTCTTGTCCTGACCTTTCTGATTGCATTTTCAATGCTTTTAGAATATTGGCATTTGAAAAGCTTTGGTCTCTTCATTCCATAATTAATGTTTTCTTCTTCAAAGTGATTCCGGGGTTAGGAGACTGCTCTCTGAGCTGTTAGCACCAAATAAATGCAAAAATGGGTTTTTTCTTTCAAGAGTCGTTCAATTTTCCAGTGTCAGAGCCATGCTGCATTTTAAGCAACAGAGGAGCGTTTCAGCAACAAGAGTTGCCCTTGAAGACCACAAATTAAAAAGTTTGTGGTTGCTGTGAAAACATAATTTTAGGGAATGGAGAGATGCTTTCCAAACAAAGCAAAGCAAAAACAAGGGAGTTTCAGAGAAAGAAGTTTGAATATTTAATGGTTTGTATTTTTGCTTTTATCATATTGTAAGCGGCCCAGAGTTGCATTTGAAAGAAAGAAAGAAAGAAAAAAAGAAAAGGAAGGAAGGAAGGAAGGAA